GTCTGAGGCAGGAGAATGGCTGTGAACCCGGGAGGCGGAGTCTTGCAGTGAGCTGAGATCTGGCCACTGCACTCCACTGGGCCACAGAGGAGACTTCTGTCTCAAAAAAAGAAAAAAAACCATGCAAAGTTGCGGGTGGCCTCACATCGTGTGTAATCCCAGCACTTTGGAGGGCTGAGGTGGACAGATTGCTTGCAGTCCACCCCGCATGGCAACATGGTGAAACCCATCTTGACAAAAAAATACAAACATTAGCCAGGCATGGTGGCGGGTGCATGTGAATCCCAGAGCTACTTGGGAGCTTAAGCAGGAGAATCATTCTAAGCGCCCGAGGAAGCAGTGAGGGCTGCAGTCACAGGATTGACCACTGCAGCTCCAGGCCTGGTGAAACAGAGAGGAAACCCTGTCTCAAAACAAACACCACAAACAACAAAACAAAGCAAAGGATGGCCCCGTGTCTCTCAGTTATCTTCAGCCACAGAATTCAAGGGATAACAATCGATTCCACAGGTTTAAGAGAATCAATCTTGCGCAAAAAACTTGTTTGGAACAGCAGCACATCCACATCTCTTACATCTGTATCTGTATATAAACATCACCAACATATGACTTATCACCAAGACACAATTACATATTAATGAATTGAACAAGCAGTAGACTACGTACATATAGATTTTGCAGACAAGCTTAGGGTTCAAGTCTTATCCACAATCCATGTCCTAACCCTTCTAGTGGAGGGAAATGAACACAGAGGCAAGAACTAAGAGTGCGTGATAAATGGTGGGAATTGAAGTGGAACGCAACTCTCTAGCGATGGAGAAATTGGGTGTGAGTTGGCTCATGCCGTGTAATTCCTAGCACTTCCGAGGTCGAGGTGGGTGGGATCCACTTGGACGGTCAGGACTTGTGAGACCAGGCCTGGCCAACATGATGAAAACCCCAATTGCTGTAGCTGAAAAATAAACAAATTAGCAGGCATGGTGGCACACGTCTGTAAGTCCAGCTACTCAGGGAGGCTGTGAGGCAGGAGACTTGCTTGAACCTGGAGGTGATCTGCCGATGCTAAGCTGGACCACCAGCACTGGTGAGCCTGGCAACAGAGCAAGACTCTTGTCCAAAAAGAAAAAAAAAAAAAAGAAAAAAGATCAAAAAATAATACTTAAGAGGAGAAAGAAAAGAAACAAACCAATGTATGAATTGTTCCCAAAATCAAGAAGTTGTGCTGGTGCGTGGTGGCTCGTGCCTGTAAGTACTAACACTTTCGGAGAGGGGCAGGGTGGTGGGGTCCCTTGAGCTCAGGAGTTTCAAGACTAAGCCTGGCCAACATGGCAAAACGCCCCCATCTCTGAAAATACAGAAAGGAAGTGTGGTGGCAGGCACCATGTAGTCCCAGCTACTTGGGAGGGCTGAGGCAGGAGGAATCACCTGAGTGCAGTAAGGTTGCGATTGCACCACCACAGTCCCAGCGGCTGCGGGACAGATCAAAACGACGTCTCGCAAAGGGTAAAAAAATAAAAACGAGAGGAA